GCGCTCAAACAGTTGCGCAGTTGCACACATCGGCCTTCGTCTCAGATTAGACTGCTCGTCTAACCGCGGCCGGCCTATGACAGAGCGCTCGCCCCTCGTGCCAACCTGTCACCGCACGGCGACATGCAGCAGTATATTTCCAAACCCTCGCCGCCGTCCATCCTTCCCGGAGACTCTTGCTTCCTTTCCTGGCCAGACGACTAAATTCCGCGGGGAGGAATACGAAAGCGACTCCGTGATCAACAAAGATTTTAGAGATTGGAACTTGGCCGATATACATCACGATACATTATACAAGAACGGCGACGACGACAATATCCGACATCTAGATAAGTTCCTTGGACAGGACTTTCAAGATGGCGTCAAAGAGCGGCTGGACCGAATCTACGGATAACCTCGCCACGGTGCAGAGGGTCGAGAGCCCCAATGCCCTGGTCGTGGGATCGACGCAGTTATTCGAGGGAGGAGTTATTCGATTTGTGCCCATGCCCACACCGGATCCCAAGGGTTAGTCTGCGACTATGGTGACTTAGAATCTGGAGAGGGATGATCGGCTTGATGGCGCATAATGGTTGCTGACACGGCTTGACAGATCCCCTGAACTTGCCCAACTGGAGGAAATGGACGTCCATTGGCGCGCTCTGCTTCTGTAAGTGAGATATTGGGAGGCAACATCTGTTTGGATACTGATCAATCCGCAGTCGGCTCACTCGCCCTCGCGGCTGAGTTCATTGTTGGTGCCCTGGTACCAGTGTTTGTGCTAGAGTATTCTGGCATCGACCCCCACATCCTCAGCCAGATCGATATCACGGCCCTGAACAAGCCCGGCGAAGTCAACCTCGACCCCGTCAAGCTTCTTTCTGGCCTTGGCGGACCGCCACTGTACCAGGTCGCCCTGCTGGCCTCCGTCCCCTTGCTCGTCAACGGACTCAGTTCCTACCTCCTTGTTCCGCTCTCGGTTGCCATTGGCCGTCGCCCCGTGCTTCTGCTCTCTGGTTTCCTGGCATGGACTGGAGGTCTCTGGGCTGGCTTCTCACAGGGTCTCGGAAGCCATTTGGCTGCTCGTTGCTTCCAGGGATTCGGTGCAGGTGCCGTTGAGGCTCTGATTCCCCTCATCATCCAGGACATGATGTTCATCCACCAGCGCAACAAAGCCATCTCTTCCGTCGGTGCCTCTCAAGGTCTCCTGATTGTGAGCTTGGGTATCATGAGGTAAGACTTTGAAACACTTGTCGAATACACTAGTGGCTCTCTACGGTGACTGACCATTTGAAACAGTCCCATTATTGTTTCCCGCCTCTCTTGGCGCTTCATCTACTGGATCACCTCCGGTGTTGGTGTGATTGCCTGGATTGGTCTCATCCTGCTCGTGCCCGAGACCCGCTGGATCCGTAGCGACGATGAGCTTGGTGAGTATCATCATATAAACATTGATGTATATGGCTAATGAAATGGAATAGCCGGTAAGGAGGTCTACCCCCTGCGCCCGGGTGAAACCCGTCCTCGCATCGACGAATCGACCTTCCGCCCTCGCTCTAACTGGGATGAGTTCGGCGTCTTCAACTACGGCTACGAGTGGAAGGAGGCCAAGCAATCCGTCATTGACATGTTCAAGACGACTCTCTTCCCCAACATTATCTGGGTCATCATCATCAACTCCATCCTTGTTTCCATGCAGGGTGCCGCCGGTCAGGTCGGTTCGTCACTCCTGATTGCCGCCGGCTGGAAGTTCGAGACGCTTGGTTTCGCCGTCATCCCCATCGTCATCGCCAGTCCGTTCGTCTGGTTCTTTGGCGGTTACGTGGCCGATAAGATTTCCAACTATATCGCGAAGCGCAATGGAGGTCGCCGTGAGCCCGAGGCCCATCTTCTCAGCTTGATATTCCCTCTTCTCGCTTCCATCGTTGGCCCGATCTTGTTCGGGTACGCCGGTGAGAACATTCGAACACTGCCTTCGATCGTTGTGCTTGTCTCCATCTTCTTGATCGGCTTCGGCTTGTTGACCGCCAACACCATTTTCGCCGTGTACTTGGTCGAGAGCTATCCCCGTTTCGCAGGGTAAGTTGTTGTCCCATCACCAAACTCAAATCTCGCAGCTAACATGTGTGGTCAGACCCGTCCTGGTCAACGTCTCCTCATCCCGTCTCATCATCGGTTTCATCATGTCATTCAACGTCACCACCTGGATCGAGCAGCTCGGCTTCTTGAAGAACTTTGGCATTTACAGCGCAGCGCTCGCCGGTGTCTCGATGCTGCTGCCCGTCATGTACAAGTACGGCAAGCCGATGCGTGCCTGGACCGCCGGCCGCCTCGAGCCCCAGGTCGCCCCGGCCAAGACGCTCGAGGACGACGACCAGTACTGGAACAACGAGCGCCCGCAGTGGCAGGACGAGAAGATGGGTACTCCCATTGGCATTGCTCGGCCGATGTAAAGGCATACACACTGCCATTTCTCGAGGGGATTACAAACTTTTCGAAGTGCGTGTAGTAGCCCCTGCGTGACAGACGCAAGCGTACGACAGATTGCAGAGAAAGAAAACAAAACGACAGAATGTTCAATGCGGAGAGACAGAGGAGCATTTCAGCGTTTGCTGTAGAGGATGAAGCGGAGCAGAGAAGAACTTGCAATTCCACCCTTTGGAAAGTTGTCACAGAGTGGGAAGGGCGCATGCACCACGAGTGGCCGAAGCGTCATGTCCGAATTCTTTTTCACCAGCGCCAGCAGACCCGTACTTCGATTCGGGTCTGTTGTGTTCATTTTCACTCTCGGAGAAGAAGTAAAGAAGTGGTGGCGGGTTGGGCGGGAACGTGTTTTCGGAGCCTGCTAGACTGGTGGTGTTTTTGTTGGCGTTTTCGCTCTGCTGTCCCCTTTTCACTCACCTCATCTCTTTAACCCCGTCTTTTGTAGCTGCATTGTGGCAGCGGTAAGATTTGGGGAGAAGCAAAGTCTCTCGACACTTGGATGTTGTTGAGAGATATTCTCGAGGGAGAGGCGGTGAACTTGTTCATTTTACTCCATGGTACTCCGTCGAGAAGGGAGGGGTATGTGTTCTCTAAGATGCTGTAGGCATAAGTTTCTCTCGGCACGACGGAGGATGGGGTAGATTGGATAGCGGAATGAATATCAACCCTCTTTTTGTCCTGAACTTTTGATGCTCTCTGTGATGTTTTGCGATTGTGACCGCAAGGAGAACACCGATACGATGTACTGATATCATCTTGAGAGGATGAGATGTGAGGATGTACACATTACCTGGGCTATCGAATCACGTTAGACACTTCAAAATCAGTGAGACTCACGAAGATATAATCATTGCTCAATTGCCTCATGAAAAGACCAAAGTGACGATTGGAGAGTACCTAACCCAGTAAACATCAACTTATCCATGGGGAAGCTCGTAATCAGAACTGCATACGGCATCCCCAGATTCAAATCCATCACGCATAAGAACCCCCAGATTCCCAAACTCCCATCGGATCCCCTCCCCGTTCATGAGAAGAACTACCCCAGTCCGGGGAGCACGACTGACCAAACACGGGGGTGGAAGGCGTGAAAGTTCACGCCCGAACCGGATTGCCCACGTTTCTCCCCCCCTCCCCCCGTCTCTTTCCCTCTCTGTTTCCCCGATCTCTTTCCGTTCCCCGAACCGAGCACATGTTCGTCCACGGCCTCGGTACCGACATTTGAACCAAGGGAACTAGAAGAAAGTCTAAGAATAACCCGGTTAGGGATGGATGGCGAAATGAGAGAAGGAGGGATGGACGGAGCAGCGCGATTCGACTAAACCTTACATCCTTTCATCCCGTTGGAGGTCTTCGAAGAGGGTGGTGGGATAGAAGGGGGGTTAATCCATGGAAGGAACTCTGGGGTGGGTGATGTGTGAAGTCTGGGGTTTGGTGAAGAGTGATGTGTGAGAGGGGGGGTAGGGTGAGGGTCGGAGAGATCTCACCCGGGGGGATGATGGGGATTGGATGAGTTTTGGTGGTGGGATGGGACTGGGACTGGGAGAAGTATCCAGGATAGGGAGAGACGAGAGAGGTTGCCTCGCACTTTCACACCGGCGTATCAGTATGAGAGGTGGACGGGAGGGCAGTATCTGGTTTGTGCACAGCGTGCGCCTCTCTTGATCGTCGTAGGTAGGCAAGTGTATATATGTGTGTATACGGGTGGGATGAGTGGGATACGATAGATCGTCAGAGGAAATCAAGAACTCTTGCTTCACGTCTCTGCTTTTGTCCCGAAAGTTACCTATTGAGGCATAATCCCTATTAGATATTTTCTCTAGGAGACGGTTTTGATGACATCGGGTCTTTAACAAGCAAACTTAAAGACAGATTAACTAGCAGCAGCAGCAGCAGCAGCAGCAGCAGCAGTAACGCCGCACTTGATATGCACAGCCTGGCAGCCCTCAAAGCCTCACTACACCGAGCCTCTATCCACTTCGCCGGCTTATAGCAACAAGAAGAGAAAACGAACCTTCGAAAGTTGCCGTTCTTTCGTCATCTTACAAGGTTGAGTCCACCTAGCAAACCGTCAAATCCCGGGGTATCTGTCACTTTCTCTAGATTCAAAGGAGAGCACTCGGGACGTGAGGAACAATAGAGAGTTGTTATTGACCGAGGGCGACCAAGCTCACCGATTCGAAGAAAGCACCCGGACCTGAGGAATGTAATATGTCTCTATATTCCTCTGTGGGTCTCTCTGTCGCTCTCACTCTCTTTTCGAAATACCCCAAAGGAGAAGCAAAACGAAGCCATCGTCGAGCCATGACCACCCTCCGCCCCCTACCCCTACCCCTAGTTCACACACACACACACACACACACACACACATACACACACACACATACCTTCGCCCTCCGAACCTCCCAAACCTAGTATCCCCCCCTTCTTCTCCTCTCCATCAACCCTGGTGCCCCCGATCAAAAGGGAAACCACCCGTCAGACCGGTAACGAGCAGTTTAGAAGGGTGTGTGGTCCACAGACCAAGACCACCTCGGATGTCCGGGGTGACCGAGCCGCGAAGTCATCCATCTACATACCCCCTTCTCTTCTCGTCCTCGTTCTCTCGTTCACGCGTTCTTTGCCCCGAAGCTCGTGCGTTGATTGGAGTTTCGAGTCTTGCAAGCGCGTGTTTTGGGTATAGTACACACAAAACAGGACACCTAGGAAGACGGAGGCATGACATGAAAATCCGCCGGTAGCAACCTGGGGTCATTTTGCGCACCGATCAAGCCGTTTCCGAGTTGATTTGCCCACGGAAGATACAACCCCCTCCACCCAATCAAGTCTATGCCTTCGGGAGATCCTGTCGATCGACTAGCTTACCTGAACGAAGCAGGCCGACTTTCTAGGTTGTCACGTTACTCCTCATAGTTCACTCGTAGATTGAGCCCAACAAGTGACGACAGACAAACAGACGCATGGAAAACAGGTGGAAAGCCCCGGAATCACGTCACCGGGAAGCTTGTATGGAAAAGTATATCATTTGATTCCAATATACGGAATGGCCCTGCAAAATTCAGATGTAACGCCTGGACCCATGACCAATTAGCGGGAGAGAGGGAACAACAACAGAATGAGCGTGTCCATATGTGCCAATCTTCTCCATGCAGCAATCCCGACTCAAAGCAACTTCAGCCGAGCTTCCCCACGATTGGCGGGGCATGTTGGGCTGGAGCTTTCCCGAGGACAATTTCAGATATACACCCAGTTCCCCAGCAGATAACGAAAAAGGAGGACAGGCAATCTAGCCCTTTAGTTCCTTCCAGCAATGTTCATCCTCGAGCAGAAAGGACCATTTCTGTCCGCATGTCACAAAGCAAACCACCAACATATTTTTCAGCACCTCACCATCAACAACACGCTTAGAAGATGCTGTTGACAATGTTGGAACCAATGGTAGCACCAGCACCAAAGATAGCAGCGTTGCCAAGCTTCTTTCCAAACTTCTTGCCCATCTCGGCCCCCTTGCCGCCGCCCTCCTTACCACCCGTGCTCTGGTCCGCGACAGCCTGAGGCGGCGCGTCGGCGTTATACGGGTTCTGCTGGGGCGGCGGGCCCTGAGGCTGGGCGTACTGCGGCTGAGGAGCCCACTGCGGCTGCTGGGCCGCGTACTGAGGTTGAGCGGGAGCCGGGACGGGAGCGAAGGCCCCCTTGGCCATGTCCTGCTCGACGAGGACGTACGTCTTGGGGAAGATGCCCTCCTGGCCGGTGCGGAGGTTCCGGCCCATCCACCAGTCGGCGTTCATGTACTCGTGGATGGCGATGCGGTCGTCCCTTTCAAAGGCCACGTCGCGGGCGTCGGCGCCGGCGTAGCGGTACAGCGCGCGGGCGTGCGCCAGGACGGGCTTCTCGTTTGTGCGGGCGGGGAGGGAGGGGGGACCGGTCTGGTTGTAGGAGGGGGGCGCCGGGGAGGCGGAGGGGTTGACGTTCAGGGCGGCCATGGCGGCGGTCGGGCCCGGCGGGGAGGTTGGGTTGTTGTGCTGGACGGGGGTAGCGGCGGCGGCGGGCGCGGCGCGGGATGCGGCGCCGTGGAGGGGGGTCTCGGCGGGGAGGGTGGCGTGCATGCTGTCGTAGGCATCTTCGGAGATGACGCCCTTTTCGAGGAGGTTCTCGAGTTCCTGGAAGTCAAGGTACGTTAGCATAGAGTACTTCTGCGGTTCCGTGGGATTGCGGATCGGGCGGGAAGTCGAGAGATCTGGAATCGGAAGCAGCCAGAGTTGACCAGCATCGTCCGCGCCTCTCGACAGCCTCGGAAGGGTGTCGGGAATTGACCTACGTTCTTGATGGTGCGCAGCGACCGGTTGGTCTCGATGATGGTTTGCCTGTCCATGGTGCCTGTTGTGAGACTAACCCCCACTTGAATCTAGATGGGCTATCAAAGTGTTGCTCGAGAGGTGTGCAGTGGAAAGTCGAGTGTTGTTGTCGGTCGGTATTAAGGTGAGTAAAGCAAACGGTTTCTCGTGAGTCGAAAAGCAAGAGGGTATCAGATTCAGACGTTGGAAAAATCGAAGGAGGCGAAGTTGTTTCCAGAACAAACAGATGCGGTCGGAGTGAAGTAAAGGTCCGAACAGGAGATCAGTACGGACTAAAGTGGCGCTCTTGGTGGAGGGCCAAGTGGGAGGTACAGACCGCACGCCGTACAAGTATCCGTCGGCAGGCCGTAGCACGGTAGGTACTCCAGGTGAGTGGCAGTGCGGCTTAGGTAACACGCCATGCATTTCGAGACTTGGGGTCCCTCACCTTTTTGGTGGTCCCTGTGGTTCCAAATGACACTCTGGAAAACGAAAAGTGTCTGGCCTGTGAAACGCAAAACAATGCCGTGACCCGAGCTAGCCGTTGCTCTTGGTCTCCTGGTGTCCTCGTCGTCTCCGTTTCCATCGTTCCAGGAGAAACATCTACTGAAAAATACCCACCAGGTGAACGTCGCCCAGACTCCAGCTCAGGGAACGGGGCTTGGCGATCATCAGTCATCCAAATACTGCCTATACTCCCGTACAGATTTTGGGTGCTTGGGTTACGATGAAGCCAATCATCCCCTAAAGAGCTTCGGGGAGGCTGTGCCCGCCAAACCTGGCCGTGCCTGGGCAGGACTTGTCCGAGTCGGGAGGGAGCCGTAGGAGCTTCTTGCAGGGGCGGATTCGTCAGCGACAAGCCATTAGCGCGTAGCCAGTCGGGTGTCCAACAATACTCGTATCGCCTACACTTTTCATATCCAAACGGACATCATCTTTAGAGACAGCCACTCAGACGCACTGACCGATGACTCGTCGTACACGGTGCCGACACGAGGAACGAAACCCCTTATACCAAAGATGGACCTTTCCTTTGAGCGCCACAATACTATTTGTCAGATTTCCATATCTAAAATCCTGTAGAAACATAACATCTATAGTATCCAATCTTTTTTCCTAGATCTTTCCCTAGAAATCATTTATGCGCCACCGCCTAGATGAACTTGCTGTCCTTGGCAACATACAGATCGACATACTCATCCACAGGAGTGGCCTCCAACTTCTTGGGGTCCAGGCCAAGGTCGACAAGCTGCTTGACCCTGCCGGCATCGAAGTGGGGCTCCAAGTGCCTCTTGTACTTCTTGAGGATCTCGGGCTTGGCCTCCTCTCTTCTCAGGCGGTGACCGAGAGGTGCCTCGACGACAACCTCCTCGAGCACGGTGCCGTCGTTCAACTCGACAGTCAGGGCGTTGGAGATGGTTCGGAGAGCGGGGTCGTGGTAGTCCTTGGTGAACTGCGGGTCCTCGACGCACTTGAACTTCTGGCGCAGGGACTCGACGAGAGGGGAGGTCGCGGCCTCGCTGCCGTCGACGTAGTCGGTAGCCTCGAGGCGGCCAAAGACGAGCATGGTGGCGGCCATGTACTGGATGCAGTGGTCACGGTCGGCAAAGTTGTCCATGGGCTTGAACTGCTTGTCGATAATGCGGATGCAGGCCTCGTGCGTGCGGCAGGTGACGCCCTTGATGTCGGCCGCCGACTTGCCCATCGCCTTGAGCTGCTGGTGAATCTTGGAAGAGGCCTCGACGGCAGTCTGGGAGTGGAACTCGGCTGTGTCTCGTCAATTGACATGCTCAGAATTGTGAGTATTACCATGAACTACTTACCAGGGTAGGAGACCTTGAAGAGAACGTTCTCCATGACGTAGCTGCCGTAGGGGCGCTGGAACTCGAACTTCTTTCCCTTGAAGAGAACATCGTAGAAACCCCAGACGGGGGCAGACAGAACGGTGGGAATGCCCTGCTCGCCCTTCATGACCTTGAGGGCCAGGTTGACGGCGCGCTGGCAGGCGTCACCGGCAGCCCATGACTTGCGGGACATGGTGTTGGGGGAGTGACGGTAAGTGCGCAAGCTCTGGCCGTCGACCCAGGCCTGGGTGACAGCGTCGGCAATCTGCTTCTCGTTGAGGCCGAGCATCTTGGAGACAACAGCAGTGCTGGCGACCTTGACGAGGACAACGTGGTCGAGGCCGACCTTGTTGTAGGAGTTCAGAAGAGCCAGGCAGCCCTGGATCTCGTGAGCCTTGATCATACCCTCGAGAACATCGCGGATGGTGAACTGCTTGCCGCCAGCAATGTTACCGCCGGCCTTGTTGGTACGAGTGATCCAGTCGGCCACGGCCAGGATGGCACCCAGGTTGTCGGAAGGGTGTCCCCATTCGGCGGCGAGCCAGCAGTCGTTGTAGTCGAGCCAACGGATCATGGCACCAATGTTGAAGGCGGCATTGACGGGGTCGAGCTGGAAGTCGGTACCAGGGACCTTGGGGCCATTGGGAACGACGGTGCCAGGGACAATGGGACCCAGGAGCTTGCTGCACTCCTTGAAGCGGAGGCCCTCAAGACCACAGCCGAGAGTGTCCAGGAAAACCCATCGTGCGGTGTCGAACTATTCTCACGAAAGCGGCGGTTAGCGGCGGCGATCTGACTGTGACGCGGGGTAAAACTCGGGCGGGTCGCCCAGGCTATGAAAGAAGGATGGAAAGGAAAAAAGAAGGTAAAAAAAGACTTACAGCAAGCTCGGAATCGACGTTGTAGCTTTGGACGTAGTTGGCAATGTCCTTGATCTCAGGATCGTACTCTCTCACTTCGGCCATGGCTGGTGCGGCGCTCTGTCTCGCAGATGAGGTGGTGAAGTTGTGGGATTGTTGAGGTGCGGAGCGGGCGGCAAAGTTAGTGGAGGCGAGACCGGCGCGGAGAGGAGTGGCCAGGCGGACGCTTCGCGATTGGAGACGCAATGATCGGGAAGCTGTCCTGAGACCTCGGTTGACCGCCGCAGACATGACCGCAAGGAGGTGTGATGGATGTATGCAGGTCAATTGATTGGGAGAAGAGTGGTGAGAAGTGGATGGCCTTTTGGGGGGGGTATCAATGATATTTGGGTATCGTCACAGTCTCAATGCCTCTTTCTCTCTTCTGCTTGGTCACTCGGATCAGGAAGAAGAAGAGTTTGGAAAAGGAAGAGAAGAATGGCAGAGCAGTATTTTCTACGCCGTAGCAACTGGAGCTTTGTCTCGCTCAAGTGGAAGGGAGGCAGGGTAAGGATGGTAGGGTGCCGCTCGTTGCCGAAGCTTGTGTGGCTGTTTGATCCGAGGTTGTCTGCGCTTACCCCTGGCGGGCCATGATGGCATTCGAGAGCTACAGCCCACAGGGCCTGAATTGCTCCTCTCTAGCCTGGGGCAGCGGGCGGGGGAATGGGGGAGCTTTGACGTGAACCTGGACGAGGTTGGGGCCTTTGGGAGAGGAATATGGAGAACCCCGGCCAGCACCTGTGATTTCCCCGCCGGTGTTCAATACATCAGTTGCCCTGGAATCAGCACAACATGATGATGAATGATCAATTGACCGAAACCACTCGATTGACGAACCGAATGCTTTCAAGAGTTGCACAGCATTCTGAGCAATCAAGACAATCTCGGTGATGCCAAGTGAGATGGCAGAGGGACGCCAATGCCCCATTAAGGTGCACGCAGAGGGGGATGTCGACCGAGCCGTGCAAAACCCGGATGTCTCCTCGGCTAGTGGCGGGTTCTAGATAAGGACGAACTCAATCTTATCGCAAAATCTGGGGCTCCCGCGGATAACGGGGAAAGTCGAGAAATCGCTCTTTACCTAATATACGCCACATGCTCTGCCCAAGGTATGCATTCTTCATCCTAGTCCTTCAATGACCTTGCAGTTTGGCACTGGCAGCTCCGCAGTGATTGTATCATAAGACATCCTGGGTGACTTGTGTAGCCGGAAATAGTGCAATGCTGAGGAAGTGCATTTGAGATTAGATGCGCATTAAGAGCAATTATGCTTCGTCCTAGCCTTGACGAAATACACAAGATTTGTCTCCTTTTAAGAATTAGAAAATGGCGTCAAGAAGTATTGATTAGCACTGGCTTGAGGTAATCGCGTTCAAAATCAAGCAGTTACCGTTGGAAGAATAAAAATAAAAATCCGGTCATCTTCTTCCGACTTGTGAGTTGACGATGGCCTCACTTAGATCGTACCTATCACAGTATGCTCTTGAACAAAGGCCTTGATTGACGTCTGAGCACTGTCGTTCGCCGGGCAGTTGAGTAAGCCAAATTCAATTTGGCTCGCCCGACTGAAATTGGCTTTCGTCACGGACTATTCTTGGATACCTACAAATCAGTAGCACAGCCGCACATGAAGGGTCCTATCCTGTTGAGTGCCGAATGGCAGTCCAAACTGTTGACGGCAGCCTGATCTCAATGTAAGTTATGTTTGAACAACAATCCTCCTGTAGTAAGACCTCACCCAGTGTTACCTGTCGCCGCCACTGATTCAGGCGTCCAAGCGTCAGCCCCAGGCGTATCCCATCTCACAGACTCCATTCACCGACGGCGACGTGAAAGCATCTGGAAATTGAACGGAGGCAATGAAGCCGAATCAAATGACCAGATCCTGAAGTGTAATTCACATCCGACCTCTCACTTAGCCTCAGACCACCTTATCTTAGGTAAGACAAGTAGGCGAAGCGAATAGGTAGGTAGAGCCTCCCGGGTTGCTGGTCTGCTTCACAAGTCTTTCACAAACATCGGTCGGTAGGAATATTTCTCTTTCGACGAACCAGATCTCCACCTCAAATCCCATCAACGTGTCCATCACCTTCTTGTCGCCATTCCATACTTCCGTTGTCATCAACCATTCGTCACCAGGCTTCTGCCCTGCATCCCCCACCCTGGTCAACGTGCATTTTTAGCAGTGCAGCCCACCTGCGGTCTCGGCCTTTCCGCCTGAAGAGCTGGAACATCAGCGCACCCTCCGCGGAACGACCCTAAAGTTGTAGGCGACTCGTAATTAGCGGAACCGCT